TGAAGTCTGAGAATGGATTTTTTTAGCCTTTGTTGTTTTGATGGAGGTCTGTTGTTGTCTCGTAATGCTTGTGGAGATTTTTCTTTAATCTTTCAAAAATATTGCCAGTATGTGCTTAAGTTTGAGTCTCCTAATTGATTTTGCACAGAACCTACTGTGCTCTTGGTAGCCTGTAAACTCAGATCTCCATTTATTCCAAATTCTTTTTCTCTAGCTATGTCTTTGATTATTGTTCTGTTCCATTTACTTGATGTTTTCTCCCCAAATGTTTGCAGTACTTAACTTACATGTCCATTCACTTTATAATCTCCTTCTGGCTAATGTTCATCTTTTTGTTACCACCCCAACCTCTTATTGTGGGAAAACTTAATAATTTTTCTGCCTATTTAAACAAGACATGAAACGTTGATTGAACATTGGCCATATGTCAGTCTAGGACATGAAGACTGATTCTATGAGCACCTACCAGTGGACTGGATTCTAAATCTACTTATATCTCCTGCTCAGGGACCCCATGGGCCCACGTCAGGGAAGAATGAGAAGGAAGATCTACTGCTGACAGCTCAGTATGGGGAGAGTCAGGAAACATATGCTCATGGATTCCCTGAGGTCCTTAGTAGAGAATTTAGATACTTTTATAATTTTTTAAAAAGATTTTATTTATTTATTTATACAAGCACTGGGTACAGTCAGAAGTGCGGGAGGGTGAGAGAATTCACCAGAGCCACAGCAGGGAGCAGAACAGGCAGACTGACGAAATACACTGCTGAGGGGAGCAGCGGGTGTGGCAGGAGAGGTCTGTGCGCCATGTGGGACCCTCACGGGCAGCCGGTCAAATTGGCGCTGCAGAGGCTGTGGGCAGCTTCACAGCCCAGTGCTTAACCACTGTGGAACTGGGGAGGCCCTACTTTTATAATTTGAACTGTAGAGCACTCTTTCATTCTGAAGATGGAAAATACGAGAACTATGAAGATTGAGTGATCTGTCCAAGGTTGTGGGGAAGCCAAGGCAAAGACAGGCCCTGGCTCCAAACTAGTTCTTATCTCCTGTTTGGTCCTCAGTACATTCTTTCATGGCATAGTGTGGCAAGTCAATCAATTGAATATCTAATTAGCTAGATGCTTTGGAGCATGTACTCCATGTCTAGTCTCGTGGGCCTGACAACTGAGTAGTCATGAACAGATGAAAAGAAGAATGGGCTTGGTTTAGTTAAAAGTAAAAGCCAAGCCTTTTCCATTGGGAGAAATGTCATGTGCAAAGGCAGGAGAGTGGAAATGATGAAACGTGTGTGTGTGTGTGTGTGTGTGTCAAGAAGGGTCTTTCCATAGACCCTCACTGGTCAGTACATAGCAGTGCCCTTAGAAGGGTGATCAGGTACGGGGACGAGGTTGGTGGACAGTGTTGGAGTCCAGGTTATATTCACCTTGAACATGTCAAGGCTCACTTCCCATCTTAGTAACATTCAGCTTTTCTCAAAATATTTGATTTCTGTCTAGAGCAGACAATAAGTATGCGCAAAACTTGCTCTCCAGCTATTTGAAACACTTTTGCTCTCTGTAGGAATTTCTGGGGAGTCAAACTGTTACAAGAGCTCACAGCAGGGACAAGAAAGACAGAATTGGTCTGGATATTGATGCCTGAAGACAAGGCAGAATTACATTAAGGGGTCACCTCACTCCCCACATGTTGAGTGAGAGTCATGGAAGCTCAGGGGCAGTTGCTGCCCAGGCTTCAAGAATGGTTCACGAGATCTTGTCCTTGACGCGCTTTGATTCCTGACTGAAGGGAACCAGTGCCATCTCCCAACTCATATCTCAGCTCCCTGAAAACCTCCCTTGTCATTTGTTACCAAACTTTTTGAACAGAGAGTATCATCAAATGTCAAACACTTACTCCTGGCTTTGCATACTTGATGATGTGGGTTCAGGTAAAGAGAGGGGGTTGGTTGCTTCATATGTGAAAAAGCTCATGAATAAGAACTGGTCTGGGTCTGAACAACCTCTTGTTAGAAAACAGGTAGGAATTCAAGCATCTCATGATGCTGTTATCATTGTTTGTAGAGAAATAATGCAAATAAACCTACTCTTTCTGTGCTTTTGTAAAAAATTGTCGGTACCTACCCAAAAAAATTGTGCTGTTTCATCCCTGCTTCTCTCTCTCTCTCTCTCTCTCTCTCTCTCTCTGAATGACTAGAATATGTGTCTTTTAAATAATATCAATTATAGAGCCTCCCTGGTGGCACAGCGGTTGAGCGCTGGGTTGCAAAGCTGCCTGCAGCGTCTGCAGCACCGGTTCGATCCCTGGCCGCCAGCGAGGGTCCCATATGGTGCACAGACCTCTCCTGCCGCCCACTGCTCCCCTCAGCAGTGTACTTCGTCAGTCTGCCTGCTCTGCTCCCCGCTCTGGCTCTGGTGAATCCTCTCACCCTCCTGCGCTTCTGACTGTACCCAGTGCTTGTATAAATAAATCTTAAAAAAAATAAATAATATCAGTTGTAAACCAACAGATTCCTACAAAATGGGGGAGAATAAAACAATAATTTGATAACCTTCCTCTGCCAGGCACAGGACGGACTATGATGTTCTTCATATTCTTGAGGGGCTAGAGGAAGGGACAGCCATATTGGTCAGACTGCACATGGATATGGGAACTAGTAAGTCATTCAATATGGTAACATTTCTGTACTCAAGGGGATGTTTGTTACTATTTTTATTACCATAAGAAATACGTGAAAAGAGACCAAACATTTGGAGAGATTAATACTTTATTTTCTTTCTGGTGGTCAGCAATTTACTGCTAATGCCTGAAATAGGAGAGCAAAACCATAGTAAAAAGTCGATGGAAGAGAGTTTAATGTGGCTGCTTGCTCAAGCCCCAAAGTATTGGAGTCTTCTGTTCTTAATTCTGTCCAGGGCCAGCCTGTGAATAACTAGATTAAGGAATTGGTCAGAGTCATCACAGAACTACAAAATATCACCCTTAGGACCTCATTGGAGACTGATAGGAACTCTGGAGACATGATAATGGTGATCAAAGGGTCTATATATTTAAGATGCACAAAGGAAGAGCCCAGAAATTATCTGCCTGCCAACTTAACTTCTCTACCTGGAACAAATTATCCAAAAATCAATTTGCAAACACCTTTGAGATAACAAGGTCTTGAGTAATAACCTCCATGGCTTTGTAAAGAAAAGCATCTGGCTTGACTAATCTGCTTAATTTCCTTCTCTGACCAAATGGTAGACTATAATGGAGGTAATCCGAAATTGTCCCTGAAGATTTGCTTCGAGACACGTTGAGAAAATATTGTCTACCTCCGTCTCATAGCAATTATTCTATTTCTGGAGAATCTTTGTTGCTAGGTAATTAATTAGATAGAAAACACTGACTGAGTCTTACCTATCCAAAGCCCTCACCTGAGTTCCAAACTGAAATTTATACCTGCCTTAGCCTCCTGATTAGCAGGAGGTGCTTTAAAATTTCTCAAATACTTTTTATTTGTACTGCACCCCTAAATGCCTTCCTCGCCTTCCACTTCCTAGTTTTACTCTAAGAATCATTAACTTGTTCATACCCCTTCCAGACAATCTCATTCCTGGCAGTTGGTCCCAAGAAAATATGGGGCAAGGAAGACTGGAATGATTTGCACAATGATATCCCTGGCAGCATTATTTATATTAACAAAACATGGAAAAACTCATGTCTCCCCACATTGGAGAATAGTGTGATTGCCTGATGGACAGTTCTGTAGCTATTAATGACAGTGATGGTTAAATCCATGTAGCATATAAACAGAGTCCTTAGGATATAATAAGTGAGAGAAGAAGGTCAATCCTACATTGGATTTATGAATTTTTATAACCACATGAAGGAGGCTTGTCTACAATATGTGAATAGAAATTGTAATAGAACAGGGAGAAATACAAATGGCTACTGGATTGGGTGACAGGAAATGGGGACATACATGCACTTCCTTCTCATTATTGTCCACTGCTATTTTTGCTACAAATAATAATAACACACATATCTACTTTGATTTTAAGAAAATAGGTATCAGGAGGCAAACAGCTTTCCAAGGGGAGAATGGGCAGGCCGGCAGATACGGGCCAACCTTACCTTACCTGTGCTAAGGTCTTGGCTAGGTGACCTAAGTCACTTGGATTCTTAGTGAGGAACCATGTAGTATTGAGAAAGAGGCTAAATTCTTACTGTACCGTCATGCTTTTCCTCCTTAGACTCACACCACTATTTGGGGGTGAACATTCACTGTCAATTTGTGTGTTCTTATGAAAGAGATATTTGAAAATCCTAGACTCCCCTGGGTTTTGAAGCAAGCCCCAGTTCAGTAAAGGTAGGTTCTCATTTGAGGACAGAAAGCCCGCGAGGAACCCAGGCAACTTTGCTGAACTCTGGACCATTCTTTGCCTTCTTTCTTTACTTTCTTTAAATGAAGATGGTATGGTAGGTATTGACCACAGTTACTGAAGAAATACTGATTCGGGTATTTACATACAAAAACATGAAAATGGGGCCCCTCCGGTGGCGCAGCGGTTGAGCGCTGGGTTGCGAAGCTGCCCGCAGCCTCTGCGGCGCCGGTTCGATCCCCCGCTGCTCCCCGGCCACTGGAGGAGGGTCCCGCATGGCGCGCAGACCTCTCCTGCCACCCGCTGCTCCCCTCAGCAGTGTCCTTCGGTCCTTCTGCCTGCTCTGCTCCCTGCTCTGGCTCTGGTGAATTCTCTCACCCTCCCGCGCTTCTGACTGTGCCCAGTGCTTGTATAAACAAAAACAAAAACAAACAAACAAATAAATAAATAAATAAACATGCCTCTATAAAAAAAAGTAAAAAAAAAACATGAAAATGAAGGCAGGACTTGAATGGGGATACTAAGGGGATTTGGGGTGTTTTGTGTGACTGTGTGTGAAATTCTGTGCCTCGTTTTCACCTGCTTGGATTCTGCTCCATAAACTTCTTGGTCTGATGTCCTTGACTTGTCTTTCAGAACCTCCCACGCCCATCGCTCCCCCAGAGCTGTTGGCTGTAGGGGCCACGTACCTATGGATCAAGCCAAATGCCAACTCCATCATCGGGGATGGCCCCATCATCCTCAAGGAGGTAGAATATCGCACCACCACGGGCACTTGGGCTGAGACCCACATCGTTGACTCTCCCAACTATAAGCTGTGGCATCTGGACCCCGACGTGGAGTACGAGATCCGGGTGCTGCTCACACGACCAGGAGAGGGAGGCACAGGACCCCCAGGACCCCCCCTCACCACGAGAACCAAGTGTGCAGGTAAGAGCCTCCTGCCCTTCTCTGTTGGAGAGGTCAGGAGTTGGATGGTCCTTCTCTCGGCGTCCTGCGATGATGTGCCTCTGCTACACTGATGGCGTTTGCTTTCTGTTGTAGAAAACATCCTCGGGTTTTGGTCTTGCTCTGACCAAAGGCTCTGGCAGTGTCGCTGGTGACCTCCTGGCTGCCCCTATGATTCTAAGAGCTGGCTGATGCCCGCTGTGCCATGGAGGGGCTCCTGGTGCTGACAGTGTTTCCAGTGGGATATTTGTTCTGTTTTTCCCAGAGCTGCTGGAGCCATTTGTGTGTCTGAGGTTTTGTCCATAGTGTCTCCCAGGGCTCCTGGCTGTGTTCTCTGAGGGTTTCTGGCTCTGGTTATAACTGGTTGTAACTCTGGGTATAACTCTGAGGGCTCCTGCCTTTGACTGTGTTCTATGAAGTTCATTTGAACTATACCCTGAGTGTTTCTGGTTCCTGTTACAGATCTAAGGTATTTCTGAGCCTGACTTTGAGGATCCCTGAGTTGGGGCTGTGACCCTAATGTGCTTTTGGTTTTGACAGTATCCCTGAGGTTCTGGTTCTGGTTCTGTATAGGAGGAGCTTCTGATACCAACAACATCTGGAGTGCCTCGTAGCTCTGAAAGTGTCACTCAGTGGCTCTGGAACTGCCAAAGTCCCTGTGAGCTTCCTGGGTCTGTATCCCCTGGGGGTCCTGGCTCCTACTTTAGAGTCTAGCTTGAAACTGTGTCTCCGAGGGGCCTCTGGATTTTAGATCCCTGCAGACTCTTGACTCAGTGTTGCCTGGGGGATTCTGTGTTCCCTGGGGACTTCTGAAATTCCTGGATGCTGCTTACAGTTTGCTGACTGCTGCTGTGTCTGGGAGGGTTCCTTGGCTGCGACTATATCCCTGGGGACTCTGCACTTCCCCGCTACTTCTAATACGGGGTACTGGCTGAGACTGTTTCTGACTGTATCCCTGAGAAGTTCAGACTCTGAATACAGCTCAAGAAATTAAAAAGAAACCAGCATTTTTTTTTTTAAATCATGCTGTTTATGTTATCACATTTCCCTTCTAGGTAACTATTCAGTAAGCACTTTTATTTCAAAAATACCTGAAGGGGTCGAGACTCAGCATTTTGCAGCTTTTTGTCCAAAGTCATAGGATTGGTCAGTGACATTATTCGGGTTCACACTCAGGCACTCCCGACTCTAATGTCCTTGATCATTAGTCACAACAGGGTGAGTGACCAGAGAGGTACATGCCATCAGCTTGGTGCATGAGGCTCGGGAGGCAGGGAAGCAGCTTCCCCACAAGGTTTCAAGGTAGGGGACCTTGGAACCAATGGCTTCCAAAGGCATAGGAATTACTGGCAGCTTCTGAGTGGGGCGATTGGCACCACAACCTCCATGGAACAAAAAACAAAGTCAAATACAGTCACTACTGCTAGCCTGTGGCATCTGTGTCCCTAAAAATCATTGCAGTCTGCAAAGTCATATGACAAAAAACACTGGACACACCAGGATGATGATAAATATGGGGCACTACACTCAGACGTCATCCATGACATTTAAAACGAAGAGTGGAAGGAAACCAGTAAAAATGGCGGCACAATTTCACACAAATTGCTGGCCAAGCTGTGCATAAATACCGCCGCGTGTACGGCGTTAACCTTGAGCAGGCCTGAAGTGAGGCGTCAGAAAGCTTCCAGCTGTGAGCTATGGCAACATGTTGGGAAAGGTCTGTCTGAAGTGTTGGGAAGTAATAAGCCTGGATGTGGCTCATGGCAGCCCAGTGGACCGAAGGAGCAGAGATGCCTGGGGTGGATGTGTTCTTGTGTTCCTAGGAAGCTCCGTTCAGCTGGGTGTGCTTCCTGCTTGGCTAGTGCTTCTGTGTATACAACCCCACAGAGCCAGCTGAAGGTTGTGTTTTGTGTTGCTGCTCAGACTGTTGCTATGGACTTGGACCACCTCGCACACCGGTGTTGCCAGCGGAGTTCTAGCAGGACTTACGGGCCCCATCCTCAAGCCTTCAGTAGTGTCGTTGGGTGGTGTGGAAGCCAGTGTTAGTGCCTATTTCCACAGTTGGGGCCGTTCTTTTGAATATTATTAGGCAACTATGATGAATGAAGATGCCATTTTCTTGATTATTTTCAAAAGCAGGCCTTTGGTAAAATTTCTCATTGAAATCTGGTCATGAAACTTAGGACTTTAAAAGCACATAAGGGTATGTTATTAAAGCAGGTAATACCTTATCTGAGCTTTGCAATTCAATATACATCCTTAAAAATAATTGATTTGATCCTGCCGATGAGACTTTTCTCTTTCCACAGGGTGAATCAAGGGTTTCTATGGTTTTTTGATCTTTGTAAATGATATTCAAAATACTCGAGCAGTCCCCGTGGACTTATTTGCTGATCACCATATAATACATTTTAAAATTCAATCGCAAGATGATCATCTCAATAAAAATTTACAATTTATTGCAAACTGTTACCACGACTCTGTAATGGATTTTACATGTTGAAAACACAATTGCCTGACTATCACCATAAAAATTATGAGCTGAAATGCAGAGTGTGGCTTTATATTTTAAGAGATGATGGTGTTTAAGTAAGTTATGGCAAAAATCTTGAAAGCCCACATTTTATAAAGTGTGTCAAGAAGATCATCTTCTTTTCTGCATTGCCACTGATGGTAGAATATTCTTTGCCTTGTAATTAATTTTTAAGAGAATTCCGGACCTGATATCCATTTGTGGATGCTGTTTTTTGGAGTTGGTAGTCTCAGGCTCCCCCGCCTTTCCCCTATTCTATTATTAATCACGCTGGAAATGTACTCGTTATTTAACAAAACAGAAAATGAGAGAGTGTGGAGTGTGGAAGGTATAATTTCTGCCCAGAGGAATTTATAGGCTGGGTTAAGATTCCAGCGAGACAGCAAAAGGGGTAAAACATAAACATCAAGTCCAGTGTTGAAATAGCATACTTGATGGAGAAAAACAAGGCTGGCATAGGCAGAGCAGGGCTGCCAGAACATCCAGTACAGGGGTTCTCACAGTGTGGACCCTCCAGCAGTGTCAGCATCACCTGGGAACGTGGAGATGCATGTTCTCAGGCCGCATGTCCTCCTGACCTAATGAATCAGAAACTCTAGGAGAAGAGCCCAGAAATCTTTGCTTAAGAGCCCCCTGAGTGATGCTGATGGACACCCCGAAGAACTCAGATGTGTTGTGATACCCCCAACACCCCACTTGGAAAGTACCCCCATTATATTGCTTGATCCCTGTGGCAACAAGATGGGAGGAAAATTGAGTGTGAGAATCATAAGAACCAGGTAACAAATCAATTGAAGTGTTTGAAGTTTCTTGATCTAAGCCCTCACATGGCTTGATGGCATCTCCCCTCTGTAGTTGTTCTCTCAAGGGTGGGCTGGGGTTATAGGGAGGCTGGTAACTATGCCAACCAGCTGAGGATGAATGGCTGCCACACACTGCAGCTTTATCCCTTTTCATCAAACATCTAGCGAGTCTCTTCCATGCACTAAACTGTGTTAGGCCCTGGTGGCAATGTTTGGTGTAGTAAGAACATGCTAGAAGCCAGCAGAGACTTGACAGCAGGAACTCAAACTCAGGTTTGTCTCAAGATTCCAGGGGTCCAATTCAGCAAGGGCAGGTGGGAATGTGTTCTGATTCTTCCATGTCTGACAGGTCACAGACCAGATAGAACCTAACCCTTAAGGGTCGATGTTGTCAAGAGACTGGCTGAAGTGAAACATCCCAGCCCAATAGACTGAAGTTCAGAGCAAGATTCTTAGCCAGTTACCCGGAGCTGGGACAGACTCTCAGCTAGGAATCTGGAAATTGGGGATGATACAAGAGAGCCAACCATGACACTCCCAGGCTTCTGGTTTGACTGGAAGGTGAGTGGTAGAAACATTTTCTAAGATGGAAAATGCAAAAGGTGATTGAGGGACAAGAGAGCAAGTGTGGATTTTGAGTATTGTGTTCAAGGTGCAGATGCACAGAACAGGTGATGGCATGTGCAAATTGGGGCTCAGAAACTGGTGGATTACCTCCATGAGAACTACCTGATTGCTCCTGATTTTGGGGTCCAAGGGATTTCTTAGTACCCATGAAAGCAATTTGAGTCTCTTTTTTCCATGCCTTTCTTTTGAGATGTCCCATTTATTTACTTTTCTTTCATCATTTTGTTCCTTGTGCTCAGTTTAATCATTCACCATCTTCCTGAGATACAGGCCTGAAGAGCAAATTTGATAATGCATATCAAAATGCTTTGAAAAACTCTAAATTCTCTTTGAATGCCTCCAGTGAAATGAATCATTATTTGTTGCTGCTTTTGCTGCGATATTATGATGAGGAATCATGATATTAAAGCAGGAAGTCTTATCTACTTTTCTGGACTGATTGGCATGTGGACAGATAGGCCAGGTGGGGATGCCTTATCACCCATGGACAGTCCTGTGTCAGTGCATGATGTCATATTGTAGTCTAGACTCTCAGAGGCTTTCTTACCTCTGGCACATCCCCAATGGCAGACATCCAGTGATGGGGCTGAGAGGACGGTCTGGTGCCCACCTGGCCTCACTATGAGAGCTCTCTTATGGCAGACAGCTTCACTGCTGGGCACCAGGGTGGTATCCCGAGTGTTAGCCTGGTGATCATAAATCCTAGTTGTGGTGCTATGTGGGAACAAGAGTTTCCGACAGGAGGAATGGATACTCCAAAGACCAGGCACAGCAGGCAAGCTGCTGGTGTCAGCTGTCTGCAAAGCACAGGGAGAACAAAGCAAGGGTGTTGAACATGGGGGCACAGTTAGTCACTGAGGAAAGCAGGTGAGATGATGAAGGGACGGACACTACACTGGTCCAGCTCGTCCCTGCATCTGTTCTGCAGGTACCACTTTTAATGACCTGAGCAACTTGTTGATGCCTTGAAACTATCACACAGCATCAGATGCAAGAAACTCTCCTTCATTATTACCCAA